GGCTGCTCTGGGCTCTGATACAAAGACCCCACCCCACCCCCAAAGGGAAGATGCGGCATCCTCTCTTCCCCTGGATCATTGGGTGGTACCAGGGAAGAGTGATCCCATCACACTACCAAGGATAGGCAGCATCACCATGTCACAAGCCGTGACTGAGCACTTACTATGTGCAGAGCACGGTTCCACGTGGTTTAAGTGAATGTATTCATTCGGCCTTTGCCATCACTCCAAGAGGCAAGTGCTATGGTGCCCCATTTTATAACGAGGGAAGACTCAGAGAGGGTTGGGTCATTCGCTGAAACCACACAGCAAACAGGATAGTCACAGCATTGGGCCCCAACAGGCTGGTTGCACACTCACACTCTCAACCTTGCCATCCTCAGCCCTGTTTTCAGATAGCCATGTCCTCTGCAGGTGCCATGCCAGACCCTCCAACATCTAGCCTGGGGGACTATAGCAGCACTCTGCCAGGCCCAGCCTGGATCACCAAGGATCACCAGTACTGCCGGCCTCCCAAAGTCAACAGGAGCCTGGGGAGCCCTTGGGAAGGTCCCAGGAAGAGCCACAGCCAGGGCTGAGCCCCTCCCCAGGGCAGAGGGTAGTGCGGGGACCCTGGTCCCATCAGCTTCTAGGACTGCTCTTCCAGGCCAGTCCCCCCTGCCTCCCCGCCCAGGCCTGATTCCAGGCTTGCAGCCCTAAAAAGGCAGGGATCACAGACGCCTGACAGCCCTGGAGGAGACTGAGCCCAGGACTGGCTGAGGCCTACCTCCCACCTCAGCCCGGTGCCAACTCTCCAGAGACCAGCCACCCTCCCCAAGGGGAACCAAAGCAAAAACAAGCAGGAAGCCAGCCAAGGTCACGGAGCTGGGGAGAGGCAGACCCAAGCCTCAGCGCTGTCCTGGTGGTCTCCTGTTCCCCCCAGCCTTCCCCTTGGGGATGGGAAAGGGCTCCTGCAAGGGAAGAATGTGACCTTGCATAACGGATGGTGGCTCCCAGGGAGGTGGGCACGGCTGCAGGGCTGCTGGCCCTGCCACCTCGCGGCTCTCGTTCCAGCTGGTCCGTGCCTAATGGCCGTAGAAGCTAAGAGCCAGTCAGCCAGGGGGCCACAGAGCCACAGGCCACAGGCCCAGGACGGTGTGGGAGCCACTCTCCCCACCCCCTCCCTGCCCCAGTCTCTCCTTCTCCTTCCCCACCTAGTCACACCCCTTTCTGATTTGCTTTCTTCAAGTCCAGTAACTGGAGAATGGGGGTTTTCCTGCCTGTCTTCTCTGTCCTCCATCAACCCCTCCTCCCCAGACATATGCCCCATTTGAGCCTCAGTTTACCTTTCTGGGACCAGAAAGAAGGCTAGTAACAGCAATGGCCCCAACCAGCCCTTGTATTCCTCCCTATCTCTCCTCTTCAGAGCTTGGGCCTTGTAACCAGGGAAGAGGGTGCAAGTTAAGCAGCTTCATCTAAACACTGGCAGGTGAGGAGACTAAAGTTAAACTTCCTCTTCAAGACTATGAGGCACTCTCCTGATTAGAAACCCCATGCTCAGAAGAGACCATAAGCCAGGTGCTGGTGGTTCACACCTATAATCCTAGCTACTCAGGAGGCTGAGATCTGAGGATGCTGGTTAGAAACCAGCCCAGGCACAAAGGGCTGGTTTTTTATCTCCAGTTAACCACCAGAAAACCCCAAGTGGAGCTGTGGCTCAGTGGTAGAGCACTAGCCTTGAGCAAAAGAGTTCAGGGACAGGGCCTAGGCCTTGAGTTCAAGCCCTACAATGAACAAAGAAGAAAAGAGGCCAAAAGTCAACTGCAGAGAAGTGAGTAGGAACTCCCAGGAAGGGCAGAGCTCCAGAGAGGTTCCAAGGATGGGGCTCCCCACCTCCTTTCCCCCTCTCTACCCACACCTACCTGGGAAACAGGTTTGGAGAGGCCAGTGGGAAGTAATCTGCTTCTCCCCACCCTGCCTGAGAGCCCTTGAGAGCAAAGCCCTTGGCCTGAACCCTCACCACCACTGCCACCACACCACACGTGCGCACACACACACAAGCCACTTCCAGCTAGATGCCCTTTCAACTACAGAAACTGAGGCTCAGAGAACATGCAGCCCTGGGTTCTCCTGCCTCTCAAGAGAGCCTCCGAGTTCCTCAAGGTATACCCACTCCTGTCCTCAAACACTGGTGGCAGGGGCTCCAATCCATACTGTGGCATGTAATCGTAGGTCCACTCCAGCCCTGGAGGAGTTAACCACAGAGCAAGGCAGAGACAGAGCCCAGGGAGGAAGCATCTCTGAGCAGTGCAGGAAGCAGCTGGGGCAGCCCTGGGGCAGTTAGCAAGAGCGGGGCATGGGGTAAGGACAGAGAGAAGCAGGCTCCCGTTCCCTGAGCACTGGTGGGGAAGGCAAGCCTGTGAGACCCATCCGAGCCCACGCCCAGGCCAGAGGGCACAGCTTCTGATTCCCCGCTCCAGTGTCAGAGAATCCCAGACCCCAAGAATCCCAGGACCTCAGCATCCCCAGAGACCTAGAGAGGTCATCCCTTGACCACATCCCAGCTCAGGAATCCTTCCACACTGCCTGCAGCCTGTCTGTGCTACGCCCAGGCCCAGGATGGGTCCCTCACTATCCCCAGGGCAACCCGCTGTCCTGCAGAGCTCTTCATTAAACTCAGCCCCAATGCTAACTCCGATCCTCCTTCCTCCACTGTGCCTCCCCCTCACCTTGCCCTGAGGAGCTCCCAAGCTCCAAGACCCGGTCACCTTCCATCAGTGCTCTTCTGGCTACTGGAATCTTATGCACCCCAGCATACACCCCCCCCCCCAACCTCCACCACACACACACAGCCACCAACTTCTGTGGTTTAAAACTTCTAGATACAAGTCAGACAACACTGGTTCACATCAGTAATCCTGGCTACTCAGGAGACTGAGATCTGAGGGCTGCAGTTTGAAGATAGCTAGGACAGAAAAATCTGTGAGATTCCTATCTCCAATTAAGCCGGAAGTTGGACTGTGGCTCAAGTGGTAGAGCACTAGTCTTGAGTGAAAAATAAAAAGCTAGGGGACAGCACCCAGGCCCAGAGTAGAAACCCTAGGACCAGCACAGATAGACAGACAGACAGACAGACAGACAGACAGGTAGGTAGATAGACAGATAGATAGGTAGGTAGATAGATAAATAGATAAGATAGATAGATAGATAGATAGATAGATAGATAGATAGATAGATAGATAGATAGATAGATAGATAGATAGATAGAGATAGATATAGATAGATAGATAGATAGATAGATAGATAGATAGATAGATAGATAGATAGATAGATAGATAGATAGATAGATAGATAGATAGATGGATAGATAGATAGATAGATATTCCTAGACACAACCACCCCTAGGGGAAGCTCTTCCCTAGGGCTTTGGGGGAAATGAAGCATGAGGTATGAGGGGAGAGATGGAGGAGAAGCCATGGGGTTCAAGGCCAGGAGCTGAGAAGGAGATGTTTTTAGTTGCCTCCTCTATCACCCAAGAGCATTGAACTCCAGATCAGAGTCCAGGCTCCCAGCTCCTGCCCTTCTGGCTGAGATAATCTCGCTCTGCCCCTAGCTCCAGCCCCAACAGACTCTTCTGTGCTCTGTAGGTAGGAGAATTGAAGACAGTCCCACACTGGGATCCCCAATACAGACCCCTCGCTCCCCACTCCACCAACACAGGTGTCCAGGCAGAGAGCCCCTTGGCTATGGCAAACTTGAGGTCCTGGAGAAGAGCTGGGAGAGACAAGAAGGAACCACCAGCTGGCAAGGCCAGGGGCCACAATGGTCCCCACCCCACCTCCAGGCACCTTTCCCTTTCCCCAGCTCTGGGAGGACAGCGGGCTGCCTGATCCCCAGGACAAAATCCCTCATTTCCATTCTCTCTCCTCTCCTATCCTCACCCCAGTCCAATCGGGATCCTCCCAGCTAGCACCCATCCTGTCCCCCTCACCCTGTCCAACCACTACCACCCCGTGGGAGCCGAATCTGTGAGCCCAGCAGGCTTCTCTGAGTTTACACACACACACACACACACACACACACACACACACACAGAGCCACCCACTCCCAGTTTCTTCTTCTAGAACAGAGTCCAATCTAAAAACATCTGGGCAGGCAGTCCCGGCACTGGTCCCCAAATGGGGGCACTGAAGTTAAGCTCTACATGGCTTGTCCAGCTCAAAAGGGGTGGCTGGCAGGGGGTCAGAGGCAGGGAGGAAGAGGAGGGGTCAAGGGAGAGGAATGGGGGAGGTAGCGGCCTGTGTGTCTGTTCATTAACCACCTGGATTAGCCATTTCTGCCCAGAGGGGTGAGGAAGGAGCAAGCCCATTGGCTGGCGGAGGGCAGCAGAGCACTCATGCCAAGCTGTGCCCATGGGTCAGGGGCTCCAGACCCACACAGATAGGAGGGGAGGAAGGCAAAGAGCTTTGAACCCTAACCTTCCTGGCTACAGCCCCCTAGAAGCAGAGAGATCCCCAGAGAGGAGAAAGGTGTCCAGAACAACTTCTAGGGATGGCTAAGAAAGAAAGGAAGAGGATTACACAACCCCACACCCCTCTAGCAGGTCCTCCCAGCTGCCCAGCACTGAGTTGAGAATGGAGACAGGCAGACAGGCAGACAGACAGACAGACAGACAGCAGAAGAGATGGACCCCTCCACACCTCTGCCTCCCTCGGTTGGCTTGCTATCCTCTACTCTACTGGCTGGCAGTGATGACACCAAGAACTTCCCTGGCAAATACAACTCCTCTGACAGCACAAGCAGGGACAGCCGCACCCCACACATCCCTGCTAGACGCTGGGAAGCTGGAATCAGAGTGACAACAGGGGACAGGTTGGCCTCCCAAGGACCTAGCCCAGAGACATGTGACAGGGTGGGGCTGACCTCACCTTCTCCTAGTTCATGCCACAAAGTGGTGGTCTTGACAGCAACCAGGCAGACCTGGCCACCTCTATTTCCTGCATACACACACACACACTCACCTTTCCGGCAGAGGAATCACTGGGCAGGGTGAGGGTCTGGGCCAAGGGGCTTGCAGGACTGGGGCGGTGGGCAGTGGCCGGGCAGCAGCGATGGCTGGCAGGAAGCTGGTTGCCAAGAGGAAGGCAGTGAGTGAGCAGAGTGTCCAAGCAGCCAAGCAGGAGCTGGCGGGAGGAGCTGAGCTGGTCCCAAGGCCAAGATTGGGAACAACTGAGCAGGAGGAGGGCGCTGCTGCCCGGCTCCCTCTCTGCCGGCTGGCGGGCAGCAGAGTGCACCGCCTCTTTCCCGGAGTCAGCCTGGCTGCCCTGCCTTCTTTAACCCCTGCAGCACTTGCACCCCGCGGGGCTGCACACTTGCGTAGGCACACCGGGACAGGGAGCAGGCCTCCTCTAGCCACTGGCCCAGCAGCTCCAGAGGGAGACACAGCTATGGAGAAATGGCCCAAGGGTTGCTGGGAGGGAAAATAATAGAGCAGTCTTCAACTTCAGGAGAGTGCTCTGCCAGTGGTATTTTCAATGCACTTTATGACCAGATGCCACAAATCTCCCTTTCCCAGTGAGCCTGTTTTCTTTAGCTGTCAAATGTGCAATAACAATCTCTGGTGTTGGTTTTTTTTTTTTTCCTCCTGGACTGAGGACATTTGTGACTGTATACTTAAGTCATTTCAACTGAGCTCGCATAATGAAATGCATGCGTCAAAGCTCCTTGAAATACAGAACAGAGGGAGAAAAAAGTGCAGTCAGGCACTGGAGGTTCACATCTATGATCCTAACCACTCAGGAGGCTGAGATCTGAAGATCACTGTTCAAAGTCAACCCAGGAAAAGTCCTTGAGAGTCTATTCTCCAATTAACCAACAAAACAAAAACAAAAGTGCTACAAACGAAGCTGTGGCTGAAGTAGTAGAGTACCAACCATGAGCAAAAAAGCTAAAAGAAAACTCCCTGGTGAGTGCTGTTCCAGAGCTGGTACAAAAGAAAAACTAAGGTGAGTCGAGGGACATTTCAGCAAACAAATGCCACTGTTCCTGGGGTTCCCGGAGGGCTGGCTCCAAAGCTCCCGTGACACATCTAGTGTAAATGCAGAAAAACAGTCCTAGTACTGTATTTCTCTAAGGGAGAATGACAAGGAAATGACATCTGTACTGTACTCTTAGAGCCACAAGGGTTCTTTTCCTCCAAATATTTTCAATCAGCAGTTGGCTGACTCCTGAGATATACAACCCCAGGTAAGGAGGGTGTTAGTATAATCTAGGGGCCAGTCTAGATTTAAATATATGGCCAGTTTCCCATATATTCATTTTTACTTTCTAAGCCAGACCTTGGTGGATTATGCCTGTAATCATATGGCTACTCAGGAGGCTGAGATCTGAGGATAGCAATTCAATCCCAGTCTGGGCAAGAAAGTCCATGAGGTTCTTATCTCCAATTAACCACTAAAATAACAGAAATGAAGCAGTGGCTCCAAGAGCAGAAAAGCTCAAGGACAGCTCCCAGGCCCTGAGTTCAGGCATCATGACCAAAAAAAAAAAAACAACTCTGTGTGTGTGTGTGTGTGTGTGTGTGTGCGCGCGCGCGCAAAACAATTCTAAGGCTTAAACTCAGGGCTTGGGCACCGCCCCTGAGCTTTTATGCCACCGCTCCTCTTCTGGCTTTTTGACAGTTTATTGAAGATAAGAGTCTCACAAACTTTCCTGCCCAGGCTGGCTTCAAACTGGGATCCTCAGAGCTCAGCCTCCTGAGGGGCTAGGATTATAGGCATGAATCATCAGCATCCAGGTTCATTTTAACTTTCTCTGTGTATGGAAACCCTTTTACAGTTAAATATAACAGAACAAGAGCTATTTAAAAAGTTCAGAACATCTATAAATGATAAAAAAAAAAAAAATGAAGAACATGTGGCATCACATGCCTAGATTCCCAGTTACTTGGCTAGGAAAGACTGAAGGATCACCATTCAAGGCCAGTTTAGATGAAACTTCACAAGACCCTATCTCAAAAAACAAGCCAGTGTAGGGGAGAGGTGTCTTACTCAAGGATCACAGGGTCTGGATGGAGGAGACCCGATATGAGCTCAACGCCCTGAGTTCTCCAGTATGGAGATCATGGGGAGGAGGCAATAAAGAAGCAGGCTTCTCTTGAAAGGAAGAGAAGTCATTTATTTTCTGCACACCTACTACATGCCAGGCACCTACTGAATACTCTCTTGATTCATCTTCCAGCCACCCTGGTGACTCCTGCAGGAAGTGACATGTTGAAGGGCAGCGTGCCAATGTACCAAGAAGCTTGGACCCCAACAAGGCTTGCTCCAGGGTAGAGAGCTCCCACGCAGCCTTGTGAGGGTTCTGAGGCCTCAAAGGCTCTGATCTTCCCTACTGGGGCCAGTAACCTTCCTCTCTGAACCTCAGTTTCCCCTGCTGTGTATCAAGTTAAATCCAAAGATCCTTGAGATCTTCTCCAGTTCTAACGCCAGCTGGTTTTATTAATTCTGCATGGTCCCTCCACCCCCCAGCTTCCCTGGGCTTCCATTCTCTCCAAGAATGAAATGACCGAGGATCACAGAGGAGGTACAAGGCCAGAGCCACAAACAGATGGCCAGCACTTTGGAGGGCTGCCATGCTCCCAATCTAGCCCAACAAACCCCTTGCAGATGGACATGGAGAAATACCTCTTCAGAGACTTTTGGGGACAGAGCAGAGAGCAGCATTCTCAGTGACTCTCCATATACATCCTCCTCCCACCACTCCCTCCACAGCAAGGAGACTCTACCCCCTCCCACGTAGAAAGAGATAAGTTTCCAAACCCCCAAATCCAGTATTTCAGAGCCCACAGCCTAGACAACAGCCAAATTCCACAGGTTACATTCTGCCCAGAGATGGCAATGACAAGAAAACTGATGGAGTGGCCAGGGGCTGCTGAGTAACCCTAGTTATTCAGGAGGCTGAGATCTGAAGATCACAGTTCAATGCCAGCCCAAGCAGGAAAGTGTGTGAGACTCTTATCACCAATTAACCCAGCAAAAAAAGGCAGAAGTGGAGCTGTGGTTCAAGAGGCAGAATGCTAGCCTTGATTGAAAAGGCCAAGCAAGAGTGTAAGAAGGCGTTCAAGGGAGAGGAGAGGAGAGAGGAGGGGAGAAGATGGGGGCAGGGAGGAGGAGGGGAGAAAGAGGGGAGAGGAAGAGGAAAAGGAGGGGAAGGGGAGGAAAGGAAGAAGAGAGGAAGAGGAGGAAAGGAAAAGGAGAGGGAAAAGAGAGGAAGAGGAGAGGAGAGGAAAGGAGGGGGGAGGGGAGAGGAGAAAAGCCAGCCCAAACTGAGTTGCCATGTACCATCCTCTAATAGCTCCTATAGCCCCTAATAGCCTGCCTAACCCCTATCCTTACCACCACCCAGTGCGTTAGAGGATTTTGTGTCAATGTCAGCTCTCTCTTCTGCTCTAGAAATGGATGCGGAGTAAGCTCTGAAACTGGAACCCCCATCCCACTCTCTGGTTCCCAGAAGAGCAGAACAAACCGTCTTCCTCATCCCTCCCTTCAGACCCTCAATCCTCACCCAGCTTGTTATCACAGAATTCCCTGCTCCTCACTGCCAGGCTCCTGCAGCCCCAGCTCTCCAAGAGGGCCTTCTAGGCGCTCAGTGTTGAAGCCTCACCTTTTATCCCTTCACTCCCTCCCTCCTTCCCCCCCCCCACTCTGATTTCCACAAACCTTCTCATCCAGCCATTGCTATGGCCTGTAGCCTCCATCCATCCTACATCTCTTGGCTGGCACCCACTGCACCACTCCTACATTCTCATCATTTGCTCTGTGACCAGTGCCATGGTCCACAGCCTGGACTTCCGTACCTCCTATTCCTTCAGCTATGGAAGACCAATTCATGCTTTCCTTCCCCTAACCTACTTTACCTAACACAATGTGGAGTGAGTGAGTATCTTCAGCTAACAAACATGACAACCATGGCTCATGCCTGTAACCCTAGCTACTCAGGAGGCTGAGATCTTAGGATCACAGTTCAAAGCCAGCCCAGGCAGAAAAAGCCATGAGATTTTTCTGGCTCAAGTGGCAGAGTGTCAGCCTTGAGTGAAAAAGCTAAGGGACAGAACCCAGGCCCTGAATTCAAGCCCCCAGTATCCATGCCAAAAACAAAAACAGAACGAAACAAATAAAGCAGTGTTACTAGATACTAGGCACTGTCCCGTCCTTTCTTGGCTTTGTGTTTCCTTATCTCTTGCTTGTGAGAGGTGGCCAGATGGTCGGTTAATATTTGAATAAAAGAACATTTCTAAATGCTAAATACTGCACGAGGCTGGACCAAGATAACCGTAGGCAGACTTGCGTCTCTGAAGCCACACGATCACAGGCAGAGACACTGACTGCACGCTTCCCCCAGTGGCTACAGCAGGGCCAGAGGACTCTGGGGGACGCTGTCTTCCTCTGGAGTTTTGGGGGTGTCATGCTCTCCCCACCACTCATTATCACCCCCTCTTTCCAGACTGTCTGTTCCTGGCTCCTGAGCCAAACCTTGACCTCTAAAAGTCTCTACAAACCACAGCAAAGCCAAGTCAAGGAGTTAAAGCAGTTCAGAACGAAAAGAATGGCTTTTCTCCTGACTTCTAAGAATTACCCCACAGCTCATCCACTGTGCACGCCTTGTGTGTGTGTGTGTGTGTGTGTGTGTGTGTGTGTGTTTGTGTGTGTGAGAGAGAGAGAGAGAGAGAGAGAGAGACGGGGGAAGAGAGGGAAAGAGAGAGAGAGAGAGACGTGTACACGTATGCACACACTTTCTGAAGAAGCCTGCTGTCCCCTTTTCTCTCCACTCCCCACTGCTCCTCTAAACTGGCTGGCCCTCTTCCTCCCCGCCCCCAGCCCCCACCCAGCCCCTGAAGCCAAGCCCATGCCCTTTCCCTCCCATCCCAAGTGCAGGACTGCACATCTGTTTCCAGTTGTGGTCGGTCCATTCAGGGGTAGGCCTGGGGGGGGGGGTTCTCATAAAAGTGAATAATACCAGTGTTGGGAGTCTGGCGGAGCTGGGGGAAGGGCAGCTGAGGGGTATGGGAGAGAGAGGGGGGCCACAGAGAGGTAAGGAGACAGAAGCAAGAAAGGAGACAGCAGTGGCTGGCATCTAGCAGGGAGGGCTCAGTGGGCACTTGTTAGCTGAAGACAGAGGCTGCAGAAACAGATGGCAGGGAAGAAAGAAGTGGAGAGAGAAGGACAAAGGGGGTCAGAAACAGAGGCAGAGGAGGAAAGGGATGGGAGTAGAGGTGGCAGGAAAGCCTCAAGGAGCAACAGAGAACCATTGAGAGGACAGGGAGGAATGCATTGTGTGTGTCCCGTTGGGTTGAGATAGACACTTCC